TCCGATAGCTTGTCTTGTCCTGAAATCGATTCTAGCGAAGTTTTATCGCTCATTGTTGAAGCTCAGTTAACTCGACATCAATATATATTAGTAAAGAAATTTATAGACAATAAGTTTTCAAAAACCATTTTCCCATCTTACCAAAGTGTCGTGGAATCTAAAAAACACTGTTATCCTTCAGACATTACTGTTACAGAATCATCCGCCGAAGTCGAACTTCAAAGTTTATTAGATCATACTGCCAATCGGATTCTCAAGTCTCAAAAAGATGTTTTGGATAGTGTACCTAATGAGTCTCTAGATAAGATATCTTTGATAGGGAAATGGGGTTTCGATGGCAGTACAGGGCATTCAGAATATAAACAGTGTTTTTCTGACTCCACTCTTGAAGACAGTAGCCTGTTTGTTACTTCGTATGTGCCACTTCAGCTTGTTTTGACAACCGATAACAAAGAAAATTCAGTAGTTTTGTGGAAAAATCCTCGTCCTTCATCAACTCGATACTGTCGTCCTATACGCCTCCGATATTTGAAGGAATCGACTGCAGTGTCAGTTGAGGAAGAAGCTCATTTTAAAGATAAAATAAGGAACTTGAAGCCTACTGTTATCAAGGAAGAAGATCGCGAATATCGCATTACTCATTGTTTGCAACTTACTATGGTAGATGGTAAAGTGTGTAATGCACTTAGTGGTGTTTCTTCATCAAAATGTTTTATTTGTAACGCCTTGCCCAGTGAAATGAACAAAATTGACGAATGTTTAAATAAGGAAGTCGATGAGAGTAAATATGAATTTGGTTTATCACCTCTTCACGCGTTAATACGTTTTTTTGAATATTTTGTTCATGTCGCGTACAAGTTAGATGTTAGGAAATGGCAAGCTAGGTCCGCTAATGACAAAATGCTTGTTGCTGCAAAAAAATCATATGTTCAGACTCAATTTAGAGAAAGATTAGGGCTTATAGTGGATAAGCCTAAAAGTGGCGGAAGCGGAACATCAAACGATGGTAATACAGCCAGGCGGTTTTTCTCGAATTCAGAAATTTCCGCTGAAATTACTGGGATCAAGAAGGATCTCCTAGATCGTTGCTGGATCATCCTTCAATGTTTAAATTCGGGATATAATATTAATAAGACGAACTTCGAAGAGTTCGCTTTAGAGACGGCTCGGCAGTTAGTTGCCGAGTATCCGTGGTATAACATGCCTGCTTCCGTTCACAAAGTTCTAATTCATGGTGCTAATGTTATAGATTACGGTTTGTTGTCAATCGGAGAGTTGTCTGAAGAAGCAGCTGAAGCGACTAACAAATACATCAAGTCTTTTAGAAAAAATCATACGCGTAAAATGAGTCGCATTGTGACCAACACAGATTTAGTAAATAGGCTGCTTCTTCATTCAGATCCCTTCATAACAGGTCTACGAAAGTTACCTGTTAAAAAAAAAGGTGTACTGTCAAAAGCTGTATTAGACTTGTTATGTATTTAAAGTTAATATTGTTGAGATTTAATGTATTTTGGTATAATTTGTGTTTTGTTTGTATTTTGTAAAATGAACTTTTTTATGTATTTTTATTGTTTTAATTTATTCATTTGTGGTTATTGTTAATACAAATAATCATTATTTACACAGTTTTACCATTAAAAGTCGCAGTATAAAATGTTTTAGATACATCGTCTAAAAACAAAATTACTGCGAGACATTTTTACACCTAAATATTGTCAAATATTTTTTAAAATGTATAATTTTATTAATTTACGTTTACCTAATCATATTTTAACGTAATAAAATAAAAAAATAATAATAATTTCGGAGTTACGTATTTATGACCGCCTTAGTATGGAGCGTGAATCACCGTGCAACACTTTTGCGCATTGAACTCCTTTTACTCCGTCTTCAAAAAAGACAGACCATACGTATTTAAATACTTTAGCCATTTCAAAAATAAACATGAGACAATCTATATTTTAGAATGTTTAGAAAATAAACAGTAAAAAGAAAAGAAATTTTATACGCATTGATGACGAAATGGGCATGTCCATATTAAGAAAACGTTCATACTTTGGGCAGATTAACACCCTCATTTCCGATCACTGTTTATTATGCTATAGTTTCGGGTTCTTTACTGGTCCCGGCGGTATAATAAACAAAATAGTTTTAATTCCAATTCTATCACGAGCTACTATACGAGTACACAATACAGATTTTCCAACACTCGTGGTTAGTGTAGCTATAGCATCCTGGTACAGGTTTTTAACTGGTGATAATAAAACATTGGTTTAGCATAAATACTGGTATTTCCTTGGACCCCGGTCTACTCTCGTTCTCTACTTCCCGAAACAATTGCTTACTTACTTACTTCGCTAGCTCAGCGACCCGAAGTGGATCTTGGCCTCCGGCACCAAAGTACGTCATTTCTGTCGGCCTTGTGCCAATTCCGACTATTCAGACACCTTCAGTTCCTTAAGGTCTTTGGCGACTGCATCCATCCAGCGATATCATGGACGGCCCACTGGACGATGACGCGTGGATTGCCCCAAATGCACTCTTTTGGCGGCTCCTAGCCACCGAAGTCGAGTAGATTTTATTTCCTAGATTATGTTCGGCTCAGACACTAGTTCTTCTATCAATTCAATATCAGTCCGAAACAATTACTGTCAAATACGTAATACTCGATCAAATCAAAAGAATGTCAAGTATGTAGCTTAATTCGCATCATGCACCTTTTAATAAAGTCGAGTGTTACTAATGGCAGAAATTATTTCGGACGATTGTAGGACAGAGAACGGGAGTAAATCCCGTAACGCCGACACGCCACTATAATAAACGCTATTGATTCCAGAAGCCGGTCGTACGGTGTCAGTGGGCATGGACTCAGATGTGGACCCTCGGATAGAGGACCTGGCGGCCGGAAAACCTGTCCAGGAGCGATTGGAGGAGTTGCTTAAATTGTTGAGGATCAACGCTACTACTCATAGCGTGAGTTTTTGATCTCTAAACCCTAAGGCTTAACTTATATTGTCGCGGAATTGAATGGAAGCTACATGTTTCGACTGGTCTCTTTCTATGTTTGACTAATGGACCAATAAATCAAGAGGTTTGTTAAACGCGATGCAATACAACGTAGTCGGGTATTTAGTTAGTCGCGACGAGTAATATATAGCTATTTTTGTAACTTAATATAGTCTGTGTTTTTTGAAGACGGAGTAAGATGACATTTGTAGGGTTGCTAGTTTTTGTAAAAATTTTAATAGTTATGTAGTATGACCACTGACTTACAAATAAATGCACAACGGGTCTAATACAAAAACCACGTAAAAAATGTCTTAAGTTAACCTTTTTAAACGTAGTGACATATAAAGGAATATGAAAAAGCTAAAACGTTGAATTTAAATTGTAATGTCATCGCAGTACTGTCTAATTTTGCTTGCTTCGCTGTCAGAAGAAACAAACGAAGACTAAAGCGTGAATGACGCTCTGTATACGATTTTAACGCCCTATAAGTTCGGACACTTTTTAGCGCGGACCCGACGTCCATATAATTGTAAGTCAATGAGTATGAGGAACAAGGCATACATAAAAAGTTTCGGGTCACTTGGTGTTATATAAAAAAATTGTGTGGCAAATTGTAAAGCGCATCTAACGGTGACAAGAAGAAGTAAGATTTTGTATACATATAATTTACGCGGTCGCTAGCGACAAATGAAGATAAACATAAATTTATTTCAATATGACAAGTAAAACAAATGTAAATAAAGCTATTATATATAATTGTAATTCAATGTATTATAGTGTTAAAATAAGCATTAGGAAGGAAATCTAAATTATACATTCTTCATAGTAAAGCCTATTGCCTAATTTAAGTAAATGTGTACCTGTATTTTAGGCATCCTTTTGGGCAAATTTCTTTACGTTACAGATTAAAAAGAGATTTACTATATTTAACAATAAAATAATTAGTAGTTATAAATCAATGGTTACCTATGTAAAAATAATTACGAAACAACTTCCAGCAAGCCCTCTTTTTCATCACGTTTTACTCTTAAGCCACAAAATAAACGTTACTGAAGACTCATGCACTCATCAGTATTTTTTGTTTGAACTTTTGCAGGTGACGGAGTGGCCTGTGCTAGAGGAGTCAAGATGGCCGTCGGACAGCGACGATGCAACCAGCATATACCAGAGAATGCCTCTTAGTTACGTGCAGACGTGAGTACCTATTTCATTACTGTACAGTACCTATGTCAATCACTTTCCGATGAAACACACGTTACTATTTCGCATGGAGACTCACCGGAGGGTGAAATAGTCTCTTAGCGTCTTGTGATGATGATCAGCATCACTGCTTCATTCACTCACCTCACTTTCACAAACACATCAGTTTTAATTTATTTTTGTTTTATTTTTTATTTTTTTTATTTCTTACTGTGTAGGATTGTGTTGTGACGTTATGTAATAAATGGATTCTATTCTATTCTATTCTATTCAATATATTATAGAATGCTAGATATCGGTTAGATGAACTATGATGATCTATTAGATGATCACTCTATGTGAGTAACGAGCTTTACCGAATAAAATTGAGAAATGCTAAAGTCACGTGTTATGTTCATTATTTTCAGAGATTTCAAAACTTTAAAACGCTCCCCTGTAAACTTGGCAATTTCGACATACGATACTTTACGTAGGAGAGGTCGATTTAAGCAACAGATTTACTAAAATTTATTATCGCTACAAAAACACCCTTCGAACTGACTGGACTCTGCAGAATATTGCTAATGCCATCTAGCGGCATTAGCACCACACTAGACATATGCGTTCCATGTAACATTTCTTATTACATTGAACACTATGTTAAAAGTATATTAAAATACCAAAGAAAGTGGAAAGAGATAGTGATTGTAACAAATTCTTCGTTTCAGTGTAAACAATATAATCAAAAGACGATGTCAAGAAGGCACTGCTGTGACGTTCGTACAGCTGCCTCCGCCACCGAAGTTGTCGCCCACTATGACGTCAGATGACCAGGCCATCAGTGAACAGTATCTTAAGGTTCGTATAGTAAACGCAAATTAGGATGATTCCTGTCACACTTCATTTGCCGTTTGTTATAGGGATGAGGTAAAGTCGATAGATTTTTAGTGTATTTAATTTTTGAAGCAAAAGTTCTCTCTTATAGTTATATTTTTTTAACGTATTCTGAATTATGTATAGTTTTCAATTATTGTTTGTGGTTGGTGGATGTTGAAATTATATTATCTTTCCTAAGTGGGCGGTAAGCCAAAAAGTTTGGGAACGTATGCTTTAAACAATTAATAATTATTAATTCTCTTTGCAGGTTTTAGACGAGTTTACGAAAGATCTTTCGCCAACGATTTTAGTAAGAGGACTGAAGTCTGTGACGTCTACAGCGTTGTAGCTATAAGTAAATGATCAAGATACTATTGTTTTCGCTGTAATAACGCAGTAGAAAACCTAAAATGACTAATTATATGGCTTTAATCACATCATAATGCAGTATTGCTACCATTGTTGGTAAACTGACAGATAATAAGTAAAAAAATATGGTGTAAATGGCAACACTGAATCGGAAAGATTGGTTTCCAGTGTCACCCTGGAAGTACTGCCACCGTAACTTTTTTTTATTTAAAAACAAGTGCACATTTGACATTTTGAAAGTGACAATGAAATCGACGATGGAGTATACACTCCTAAATAATGCCTTTTCACTCTCGCCAAGCCCTCAGCTCAAGGCCCAAGTTATACCGTTCAGGAAACAAGTTTAAAGGGAATTCCACTTCATAAACATTCGCCATATAAATGTGAAAGCGAAGCGTTTCGTGCAAATCCTTGGAATATTCACAAGATGGGGTGGAACCGCAGCCTACGTCTAGTCCCTCGATGATCGCGAAGGTGACGGCAAAATTCAATCGTGCAATTCCCTCGCACATTCTCCGTGATTTATCCTGGAGAATACCGATAAGCAGACACCTTTACGGCGTTGTTCAAGGCTTTGCGGCTTCACATCCACTGCTTCCGAGTCGCCTATAAGCCTCTTGAGCAGCTTTTCAACTGAATCCAAGATTCTTGTACATTAGTTTTTCTTTCTCCATTAGTTTTGATTACACTATAATCCCCCTACCCTACCGACTCCTAGGGTATACGACGAGGGCACTATGACCTGTGCGAGCGAACCCGTACAGGGACCATCTAAGTCAGGTCCTAACCCCGGATCAGCTCGTTTGCACGGACTTCATTCGGTTCTCTGTAAGGCTAGTGCCTTAGGTGAGCCGCCCGGTTGGATGTCGCGCTGTGCTTGGTACAGCTGAAGCAACTGCTCCGGTTTGAAGTTACTTGGATGCCAAGCTTCCTGGCTGAATTTTTCCATCCATTCTAAGTTCAAATTGGACGACAGATCCATTCTAAGTGACTATTGCTGCCGCCAACATTGACTTACAATTATATGGACGTCGGGTCCGCGCTAAAAAGTGTCCGCACTTGTAAGGCGCTAAAATCGTATACAGAGCGCGACAGTCTTCATTTGTTCTACTGACAGCGCGATACTGCGATGACATTACAATTTAAATTTCGAATAGGTTGACTTGGGACATTTTTTTCGTGGTTTTTGTATTAGACCCGTCGTCCATTTATTTGTAAGTCAATGGCCGCCAAGCAGTAATTTGAGTATCGTGAGCATATCACGACCTATAAGTTCAAGTAAGAGAGATTAGTTAGATACAATATTTATTTATGATATCAAGCGACGGTCCTGCGCCTGGTGGTAATCGATATGCCTATCCATGACAGTTGCAGTGGCACTCAGAGCTTTAAATTGCATAGGATTGACGGGGCACTGCCACTGTTGTGACAAGTCCATTTTCACCAGCGCCATTACCCTTCAAAACAGGAGCGCAGTGCTCACATTACTGTTTGACGGCAGATATACGTAAGGTGGCAGTACCTCAGATGAATTCTTGTATAAGGAGCTCTACTGCTACTAAAATACAACAATCATAGAGATAGAAGAAGAACAGTATTTCTATTGTATAAAATGTCGTGAATTAATAGTCTGTCTTTTTTGGCGACGAAGTAAAAAGACATTTTCAGAGTTGCCAGTTTCATAAATTTTTAAGTAGTTATGTAGCTGTTGTCGACAGTTTTATCGACAGATTGTGAAGGAGGGTAAAATTTTGCCAAAAATTTTGGAATTGCGAATGTTACGACGTTCTAAAGATTATTAATTGCGTTATTGTCTTCATTCTTATTTTGACAGTTGGCCTACTAGGATCGAAATCAAGTCTTATTCATATTATGTATATTTTAACAAGAATAGGCGGATTTCATTATCTATAAAATTGAATTAAAGTGAAAAAGTTATAAATATGTCTCCTCTTTGTATTTTTAATAGACATAATACGTAGTTCTTAATGCAGTGTATGAACTTATAAAGAATAACATTTTAAAAAATCAAATGACTTTGTGCCCAGCAGTTCTGCCATTTTTATTGCATAAGTGTGACCAACATACAACCGATTATCGATAGAATATTTATCGACTACAAGCACTAGCTTCTTGCAAGGGGGAAACACTTTAGCGCTTAGAGGGAAAAAAAAAGGAATTTTGCGCAATGAGCTGTCATTTTACTCCATCTTCATAAAAGACAGACTATAGAAGAATCTTAAGAAGTAGGTAGTATTAATTTGAGAAGTGGCCTTATTGTTGAGATTATATTTAATTGAAATCTCTTTGTAGTTAAGTAAATGTAGTGACAAATAAATTGTAATATCATTAATTTTGTATCAATTTTAAAATGTTTAATATAAAAAGATATATACCCGCAATATTCACAAAAAATCAATCAAAGTTTTTTAGAATATTATAATAATTATGAATTAATTTTTATATTTTATGTAAGTTTTTGACACAATAGTATGATTATGTATCAAACAAAAAGAAATTAAAATAAAATTCAAGAAGCTTTCTGAGAATGGTGACCCAAACCAAAATCGTACATTTATCAACATATGTCACGTTTGCAGTGATAAATATAATCACGTGACACTAGTGGGGCCGCATTATGATTCGTTTGCACGCGCATAAGTTTCTTTTCTACTTCTGTACTTTAATCTGTTAATTATATTCTTATACTAAATCATAAAGGCGCTCTTTTTAGTTCGGAACAAAAAATCTATATTCTGTACTGAACTGAAAATTATTTTATTTAATGTCTCAAAATGTTACATAACAAGTCGTAGGCGTAACCATTCGGCAAACAATAATTATAAAAAAAATTCATATCAAATATGATGGTACCCAAACGCTCTACTGCCTCCTGATTGGTTAAAATATAAGCGGTACTTGACCAACCACGGACCCTTCTGTCTTTTTGGTTTTTTGTTTTGTAGCGTCTGTTTGTTGTCGTGGATTGTTAAAGAACAATCTTTAGATATTGGTTGTGTTTCATTATTTTATTTACTTGTTGAAAAAGTATTGTATGTAATCATTACATAACTAGGTCTTAAAATCTTGTACTTGTTACTTTTAAAAATCTCATTGTGCAACGACATAAAATACCATTTTAACTATGATACTCGTAGGTGTTGCAATATTTATTTTATTGAATACTGTCATGTTTATTCCTGTCCTGAAAACACTGGCTCGGCGTCGCGTCAGCGGCTGTCTTGCATGACGTAACTCTTCAACGGCTCGTGTGATACTTACTGGGTGTACCCAGTACGCATGGAAACACGAGACTGTGTAGGTATATCAGGTCGCATACGCTACAAATACCATGATGTTTTTACTACCAAAATATTCATATATTTTTTGTGAAAATGCTTCATTACTTTGTTATTAATATTGAAATAAAGATTGCACAAACACACATTTCTTCGACTTTACTGGACTCGAACCAGCGTCTGTTGCCAAACCGGGGCTACCGCTTTTACCAGCTGCTACAGACCGAGTAGCAGATCTTACGACCGAATTTCTCTATGCCTGCTGATCTTATGTGCCTATGATACATGTTTTTGAGATGGGCCGCCATTCTAGAAAGTCATCGAAGTGTCAATATCATTCACAAGAGCTTGTATTTAAATAATATAATATTTTATATAATTACTAATTACGTTATAAGGACTAGTTAAATTTACCAAAATCTTTTGATATGATAATATTAAAGAATCTTGTCTTTTTTAATTTTTTTTTCTTCATTAACATTGTGCGATGGCATTTCTGAAATGGGTCATTATCGGACTAACGTTCACTACCTAATTTCCGTGGCAATTAATATTTAGATATTGAATAAAAAAAAAAAATGTATTTCTCTCTCTAATATTAAATAATATTGCACGATAAAAATATCAATACTTAAATAATAAAAAATTGCCAGGGAATTATAATTTAATAGCCAACACATAGACACTATGTCAACTTCGCGTCTATCGTAAATTACTCGTGCGAAATGGACAACCTACACTTAAGAGCGGCCACACCGCGAATGAAGCGCTTATCTAGCTTGGCTCACGTAGCCGGGGCATTTATTCATACGAACTAACCGACCTTACTAAACTAACCCAATGATCCCGCTAAGCTATGTAAAATATGTCGCCCTTCACCCCCACACGTATCCATAAACCACTACGTATTTTCTTAGCTTAGCTGGTGTAGATGGTTGCGTGCAACCACGTGAGCTAAATTACCTTTTTTTGACCGTTGAACCGTCGATCGAGGGCGTTATTTATTCAAAAACAATTGAAAGTGTCCCGAGTGGCCAGAGCACTTGAGTGAAGCCAGAGTTCCACTGACAAAAAGATTCCATATTAAATATATAGGAGTGAATATAGTTTACTTTTATGTTTATCTAATGCACCCAGGCGAATTAGATGTATAAAATTGTTTACTAAAATTATGTTTAATAGTGTACACTTAGGTGAACTAATTCAGGTGAATTAAGTTAACGCACCCTCGAGATCGTAGCCGACGAACCGACCGCAGAATTAGAACCACTTGGGCGACCACGCCTCGTGTGGTTCTACTAGTACCCCGCAGACGCTGCAGCTACCGTGAGGAACCGTCTCCGCCATGGGCCTAAAAACGCGTCGTGTGAAATGTGCTACTAAATTTTACATAATTTATAATATAATATTATATATTATAATAAGAAGCGAATTTTGTACACAGCATAATTAACTTTATGCCAATTGTGTAACGTATGTACAAACGTAAGTGAGAGTGAATGGCGGGTGTTCCTTAACGGATCCTGACCAATTTGGTATAAAAAAATGTACTTATTTGCACTAGGATCAATTTGGTATAAAAAAATGTACTTAATTTGCACTATTTAGTACCTCTGTTTAATAACCTAACCTCCGGTTAAAAAAAATCGACCTCAAAAGTCATTAATCCCCTAGTTTGCCATCCTTAGAGGTGGAATATTTTATTGAAATTTAAATGGCACCACATCTGAGGTATGTACCTTCTTTCCAACAAAAAAAATCATCAAAATTGGTTCACAAATGGCGGAGTTATCGCGTAACATACATAAAAAAACAGACGAATAATTGAGAACCTATTCCTTTTTTGAAGTCAGTTAAAAATTTGTACCTCCATCAAAACGACGTTATAGCAATATCAAAGTTACACCCGCCGTATTGACTGTCAATATGGCGGGTGTACCTCGGATTACCAGTATTTATTTAATAACCTTAGTTAATAACTATAAAATCTTCGTAGTAGGTACTCTAAAATAAATCAGCTAGATCTACTGATTAGTTTCTGCTTAGAATAATAACGCATAGAATGATAGTTTCATATCAAACGAACTGTCACAAGTGAGGCAAAAATCAAATTCATGTAGGTAGGCTAGTTTTAGTAGTAGGTTAATTTTCGGTTTTAGTGAATATTTATATAAAAATACAGGTTTAAACGCGTTACTTCCTTGTGGAATGTGATGTTAGTATCTATTTTATGTTTGTCTGACGTATTTTTACACTCATTTACCGCACATTTCGTCATTTTTAGCTAAAATTCTTGAGCTGTTCGCGGTGCAAGTTGACCTTGAGCACTGAAGGCCCGCCCACTCGTGTAGGCCCTTTTGGCGCGCTTCAATTTGCCT